TTACAACCAGGAGATCACAGGAATAACCTTGTTTTGCAGAAAAAGTAGATAAGAATACATGTCTGATCTGATATTTCTAGGAAGTAGAACAACTAAGTGGATGAGACTTACTTCTGCCATAGTAAAGACCAGCTTTTCCATTTACAACTTTCAGAAATCATCATGTGAAATCTCTTAAAACTTCTAGAAATAATCTCATTTACAAAATAAAGGCTGGAACTTAATAAGGGCAATGAAGCCCACGGAATTTGAAAAGATAGGTGATTTTAAAGAAGAGAAATATGGTAAATATAATCGGTCTGGACTTCATCAAAACATCTGATAAGGTGTGCTACATCAGAAATTAAGGTGGAAAAGATAAGGAACAGTAAAAGAATTGTGATGTAAAATTAAGGGAGAACAACAGATTGTTCTGAAAGAGGGTCTATCAAGATGGAGGGAGACTACTAATGGACTTTCTCCAAGATCTGGGGTCTGTTGCTGCTACATAAGAATTTCATTAATGATCAGGACAAAATGTAAGAAGTATGCTAATACTATCTGCAAAAGACACAAATTTTGGAGGCTTTAATCAGACTGAAAGAAGATTAGCCAGGAAGAATTTGAGCACTGGAGTAAATGTTGACATTTAATAGCAGAAAATTTGAGGTTCTCTTCTTAGAAACCAATAAGGATTTCTGCTGTAAACTACAGAGTCATCAGTTGCAAGCACAGAAGAGAATAAAGACATATGCCAATTATAGCTGCTTCACATTACATGCAAGATACATACCAAAGGAAGAGGGGTATACTCTACCTTGTATTTTGAAGAGGACATCGGCTAACACAGGTGTATTAAAGAAAAGCCTGAGAGAAGTGTTACATATCTGCAATGGTCTTTTTGTCTGATAAATTCTACAATCTTTTAAATTATTTACCTGTAAAATGAAGAAAAGATATTGACATGTATAAATGTTGCATGCAGATTATTTTTATCATGGCACTAAATAATAGATTCTCATCTTTCCTCCTAAAAGCCTTTTTTCACCTCCAATGACAACTTATCCTCCAGGGCTCTGAAGTTTATAACCCTGATATTATCTTTGATATTTATTTTTTGGTTTCTTCTACTGTAATACTTCTAAAGTCTTCCCTTTCCTCTAAACACACACTGCTGAACTTGATTCATGACAGAGTTCTCTTCCCCTGGAGCACTGAACTCTTCCCATCCGACTGCCCTGGCTCTCCTCTCTACAACATTAAAAATGATAATAATCCTTTTTGCCAATTTGATTATATCATCTTCCATAAATATCTCTTCCTGTGTAAAGTTTGAACCACTCATGCTCACTTTTGAAGGTTCTCTCTCCTTTTCACCCTTCTGTACTTCAAGTTATGCCCAACTATCAAGCTGCTCTCAGACCACTCCTCACCATCTTGCATCCTCCTCCCAGTGAAAAGCAGCTAAATGTTATCTTTTAAAAATCTTATGACTCTCAAGTGAATCTCATTAATTTTTGGCTTGACTTGTGATCCTGGAATATTTGGGAGCGATAATAATGCAGTTGGGAAAGCAGAAACTTTTAAAAGCTAAGAGCAAAATACCTATTACTCCCTTAGGCTCCTGGCAAACATTTATTGCAGGACTAGCACAAATGTAATGCATCAAATGGTAACATGCCAGATGTCCAAGCAACTTGTCACATGATAAAAAGGGAGAACCTGCCTCAGAGAAGTTGCTCATTGAATGCGAAACTTCTTTGGGGCAAGTATGTATTGCAAATTAAATTTAAGATCTGGCATGTTACTTAGATCCTCTACTACCCCACAGTGCACTGTTTTTTCTCCCCCCACTATAAAAAGAGAGGGAGGGAGAGCAGCTCACTCCCTGACAGGGCAATTAGCAAGTTACCAGAGAAGCTTGCATACAGGGAGAGTGGGGACAGCAGAGGATGACTGGTGGGGCAGAAACCCCCTGCTCAGCCCTTTGTTGCCACCAGCATCTTGCAAGCAGCCCTGATCATGTGTTACCCACACTCCAAATTACCTAGGGTCTGCCACTTGCCCCATCCCACTTATCAGCTCACTGCCAGAACCAGGCAGAGGGCAGTTCAGTCCCAGACCTGGGGGAGGGGGGTGCTTTCTGTCTGAAATCCAGAGGCTGCCCCCTACACAATCCTGCCAATCTGTCCCAGTTGTAGGACAGAAGGGCACACAAACACCCTGGAACTAGAAAGCTGCTCTTTGGTCCCAGAGCTGCCTACATGCCCTTTAAATTGCCCAGCATACAAGAAACCCAGGAAGCAGATCCCCAATCTCAGGTCACCAGCTGTGTGCCTGGGTCCTGGGTTGCACAGGCATGCTCTGTAAATTTCCCAGGGTGTGAGCAGCCTGAGACAGGGAAGCCACTTCCTAGGTCCCAGACTGCTTGTGCATCAAGCACTTCAATGCATGCACAGGCAGCCCTGGGATCAGGAAGTGCTTTTTGTCCCCAGGCCTGCCCATGTGCCCTTTGAAGTGCTCTCCACAGGTGCAAGTGTTCAAAATAGCCCTAATAAGGAAGCAAGGGTAACAGAGTTCCCTACACTTGAGGCAGACTCCAATCAGCCCCTGTGGCTGTAGGGGGACTTTCAGGCAGCTCCCTCACCTGCCTGGCAGCAAAAGTAAGAGGCCTGACTACAACCTGGAAAATGTAAAGGGCTGTTGGTGCTTGAACAAAATCCAGTGAACTCTGTTGCAAAGGCAAAAAAATCTGAGTCATAGAATCAAAGAAAATTAGGGCTGAAGGACCTCAGGAGATCATCTAGTCTAACCCCCTGCTCAAAGCAGTATCATCCCCAACTAGATCACCCCAGCCAAGGCTTTTTCTAGCCAGGCCTTAAAAACCTCCAGGGATGGAGATTCCACAACCTCTCTGGGTAACCTGTTCCAATGTTTAACTATCCTCCTAGTGAGAATGTTTTTCCTAACATCTAGCTTCAACTTCCCTTGCTACAACTTGAGACCATCGCTGCTTCTTCTGTCATCACCCACCACTGAGAACAGTTTAGCTCTATCCACTTTGGAACCCCCCTTCAGGTAGTTGAAGGCTGCTATTAAATCCCTTCTCAGTCTTCTCTTCTCTAGACTAAATAAGTCCAATTCCCTCAGCCTCTCATAAGGCACGTGGCCCAGCCCCCAACCAGTTTTGTTGCTCTCTACTGGTTTCTCTCTAATTTGTCTACATCCTTTCTGTAGTGGGGGGCCCAAAACTGGACACAATACTCTAGACATGGCCTCACCAGTGCTGAATGCAGGGGAATAATCACTTCCCTCGATCTGCTGGCAACACTCCTACTAATGCAGCCAAATATGCCATCAGACTTCTTTGCAACAAGGACACACTGATGGCTCATATTCAGCTTATTGTCCACTGCCATCCCCAGGTCCTTTTCTGCAGAGCTGCTGCTTAACCAATCTGTCCCCAGCCTGTACCGGTGCGTAGGATTGGTTCTGTCCTAATTGCAGGACTACGCACTTGTCCTTATTGAACTTAAATGAGATTTCTTTTGGTCCAATCCTCCAATTTGTCAAAGTCTCTTGGAATTCTAACCCTCCCTTCCCATGAAAGGAAAGTTTTCCCTATTGCTATTACATCTCTATGACTATTACATGTGGAGCACATAACTGTTAGTACTGTTAAAAATTTGAACTGTCTCTATAATTTCACATGTATTTATAGCAAATAAAAACATACCATTGATTAGAGAATACAAAAATAGGTAAACCAAAATCCTTCTGGAACAACAATAAGACAAATCACCAATGTCAAATTATTTTCCTGACCCCCCCCCCCCCCCAC